TCGTCTTCTGGTATGGCTCAAAGATGGCCAGACATTTGAAAAGGGGTTAGTCTATTCTTTTTAGAGAGCTCACCGTGGTTCGAGATTTAGCGGAAAAGAGGAGAAAAGAAGCAAAAAAACAAAAAAGACTCGCCTTGCCGCAATCCGTCCCAGCGTGACAGCGAAAGAAGGGGTGGCTTTCTCGCCTAAGACGCCCATTCACTAACTTTTGGCGTTCTTAAGTACTTTAGCTTACTTCGCTACTTTCTTTCACTGTGTCTAGAGGCGTCGGTCACGGTAAAACAAAGTCCAATATTCCAACATCTAGTTAAATTGGGGAAACATCGCCGTCACCAAAACGACGTCGAATTCAGCCCCCAGTATCAGAGACGGGGCCCGCTCCAACATGGCAGCTCTCGTCCAGTCATTTCCAGCTCAACAGTCTTCCCCACCGGTCACTTTGATGCAGTCACGTCCTCAATCTTCCACGACTACTTTGCAAGCAGGAACTCCAAGCCAGTCCGCTCTCCCTGCCCAGCATCATCACTTGACTCCACGAAATATGGGAGGTTATCCGAACACAAATACTGGTAGCAACATTTCTGGTAGCAGTTATCGCTCTGGCTACTCGTCTGCGCCTGTGGCCCCCTATGCTTTCACAAGCACACCCGGGCTGTCAAATACAAAGTCAGCCTTGACCGGCCCTAAGATCAGTGAGAGAACATCATCTGCTGCCGCTGCCGGACACTTGGATTCACGAAATCGTTACCCCGCGTCAGATTCTGTATCGTCCTCTTCTTCAGCTTCTTCAGACCCGTCACTTCGAAACCAACAGGCTCAATCCATAGTCCGTTCGAAGGAGGAACACTCTGATGGTCGACCTAACCCGAGACCTGTTTCTACAATATCGACCAATCTGCCACTTCCACCGATATCGTCCCCAACTAACCGGCCCAGTCCCGACCGCTACCGTCGTGTCAATAATGGGCGAGCGAGTTCCCATACAGGGCAAATCGGGGGTGGGTCTGCTCAGCCAAGCGGGTCTGGGATGGCTGCAGTAGCTGCTATATATACGCAGCCTGGTAAGGCGAACAGCAATCCTTCGCTACCGCCGACAACTGGAAATGTGGGCGGAGTGGGAAAGGCACCTTTTATTGGGGATTACACTGGACAATTGAGGAGTCAATCCGTAGACGATATTCATACTTATCGAAGTCCGTCTGCTATTTCGAATTTACAACAGATGCATGATAGGCGGAGATCTGTTGGCCCTGATGCATTTAGTCCCGAAAGTTTCCAAAACTTTGTAAGGAATGAAATGTCATCCTTGTCTCAGACAACAAACGCACAGCTTTCTCGGCCAGGATCTGCCGCCAGTGGCTCTGCTAGCGGTTCTAACAGGTCACAACCTGGGGCTTCAGGCCGTAATTCTACCACCCAAAATACTCCCCGACCGGGTAATAGGAGAACCGGTAGTACAGATAGTTCTGCCTCGGGCAATTCCTCACGTCCAAGCTCTGTAATAACCCTCCCCCCTTTATGTCTCTTAACCTAATTCTGATGGGGCATTACAGAGTAAACGTAACTCTACTCATTCGACAACCTCCAGCCCTGGCCAGAGCTCGCCTAACTCCCCACACGAGATCAATCTTGCCCACGTTCCTCCACGTGGTTCCTCTACCGATCTAAACAAGCGAACCACAGCACCATCACCTCTGTCCAAACCAATGACTATGAGCTCAGATTCACCTTCTGCTTCGCAACTACCCGACAACCCAGCCAACCCCAATGCGGCTCCGCAATCTTCAGGAAATCTCAGGGCTGAACACCCTACTGTCTTCTCTGAGCCGCGTAAAGGAATGAAGAACCGGCTCAGACGTGCCTTTTCGTTCGGTAGCGCAGCAGAACTTCGTAAAGTCTCGGCTGTCAACAGTTTGAGGGGTGAAGAATTAGCCGATAAAGCGAGAACGCGGCAAGAGAAGTTCCGCGAAGAACAAGAGGCGGAGCAGGCAAGAATTGCGAAACGCCAGGAGGAAGCTGGGTTGGGCGAAGGCATTTACAACGGTCAGGGGAACTTTTTCACCGGGTCGACCGACAATATCTCAGTGTCATCGACAGCATCGTCAGCTTCGATTATGATTAGGAAAATGGGCAAGGGAATGAAGAAATCTACTCGTTCGCTTGTTGGGCTATTTAGGCCCAGATCAGTCGTTGGCGTCCCCGCTGCCAGTGGGCCTGTCACCTCCCAGCCCAGCACTGGTCAGGTGTCGATGGTCACTGTTGAAGCGGAGCGTGAGAGGGTTAATGTGAACGCCGATCCGCACGAACAGGTGGGCGGTGGGACCGGGTTTCCTAAGCTGGATAGAAATTCAATTGAGAGTGGGCAACACCGGACGCTGGATCCAAATGTCTGGGGCGCTAGTATTGCTGGTGATGATACAGCCCGCAAGAGTGTAGTTGGGACCGATAGGGATCGGGCCGATATTCTAGCTACTATACGGAGGGGAATCTTAAAACGTAGGCCAATTCGCCAAATGTGGAGTTTAATTGCTAATTAGTGGTAAAGGGTCCGGCTCTTCTTCTCCCGTAGCCAAGCCGGTCGATCTCAATGGTGCGGCTTTTGGTTCCTCGAACGCTGAGAACCAGCGGCCATCATCTAGTAAGCAAAGGTCGGATTCGCTCAAGATCGAAGGTGATGATTACTTCATGTCTTCACCTCGATTCCCAGCCGGTTCTTCCAACAGTGCCCCCACCTCGCCTGCTTCAATGTCGCGGTATAACGTCAGCTTTAGCCCACGGATTACGTTTCACGATACCTGGCCAAGCGGGGAGTACGATAGACGTGGAGAGATTGCCACATGTAATAGGTTGACTCCTATGCTGGCTCAACAGATCAAGGAGGAGTTGAATACATTCAAAATGGTGTGCATTGCTTGATGGTTATTTCGTGGGTGGAGAACGTGCTAACTGGCTATATAGGAGATGGATGTTCATGAGGAGTCCAAAGTTTATACGCATTTCTTCTAATGACCTGTGTGCAACGAGGCGTTTCAAAAGCTTTTTACTTTTTCTTAGGAGCTACATTTTTATACAGCGACTATACATCTTTTCCTAGAAGCTGAACGAGGTTATTTGCCATACGTTATTTTTACCTGTCAAAAGTTAGGCGAGATGGGGTTGTTGAGAAGGGAGACGATGAGTGGCACGTCCTTCCGGAAAGCTTTGCCTATCTCTGCTACCACTCCCAATGGACTGGAACTGGGTCTCCTTTATTTTATTTTACATACTTCCTTTAACTTTGTATCGGTTACATTTGCATCCTTTTCATTCATCCATTCCAGTGTCATCCCTTCGTATGTGGTTTGCTTTTCGCGTGGCATAGTGTTTTGGGCATTTTCTGTTATTTGCGCGTTGGTAATTTTTCTTTTTCTTTCCTTTTCTCTGGGTTTTCTTTGGAGTTTCGATCCGTCGACCGGGTAGAATATCCTTTTAATGATGCCTCAAGGTGTGAGATAGCGATGTTGTTCATCGATCGTGTTAGATGAGGTTGAAGTATGGAATGGCAGTGGCGTGCACGTGAGTTAGCGGGCGAAGGAGAGATTTTTCAGAGTTTTATATATCCTATCATGTCAGGTGGAGGCGCATTATTGGCGGTGCGGTGTCGGTCCCGTCTTCGTTTTTCAACTGTCTCAACTACATTTCCTAGTACTATTTTGCTCTTTTCCGTCGTATATCCTCTCCTTTCATAGTTCTCTTTCTGTATACTTGTGCAAAGTTCTAGTCCTGATTTGGTTTGATTTCTTTTTTTTCTTTTTCTTTTTCTTTCCTTCCTGTCTTAATTTCTTTCTGGCTGTTTACATCATTCGGCTCACAAATTTCCCCTAAAGATATCTCTTCTCTTCGTATGATAGGTGCTTTTCTTCCTCCTTTCTGTTACCACTTGTTCTTGGCATATCCTGGACTATTGCTAGCCCTGCTCCATTGGTATGCCTTGCTGGGTAGGGGAATAGGTTTCGCTAGCCCCATTGCCGTAGACCAAAGGGGGGAAGAGGGGTTAGGCTATTGCTAGATCGGGAATCCGCTTTATCTGCGCAAGGCAGTCTAGAGATTTTCGAAAAAACAAAAGGGGCGAGAGGGGGAGGGAAAGGGGGGAATATGAGGGAAGGGATTTCTTTACCGGTAGTGTTTTTTTTTTTTTTTTTTTGATTCTTCGCATGCTTTTTTGTGTTTTTTTTTCTTTCCCCCCTGCTCTTGTTCTTCGTGCGTAACGTTCGTTGGCATTTATTCCCAGCTCTGCTCTGCTTTGTTTTCCTTTCCTTTCCCGTTTCCTTTTCGGGGGTGCGCAATACCGGTATCTGTCCGATATATAGGAATTGGATGCGGCGATAACCCATTTAGTGTACCCAGTGCCATTTTATGTCTGGCGGATGGTCATAGTCTATCACTCGAAGGTATCATAAGTATGATGTATCGGAAATGGGTTAAAGGGACAGCCCATATTTCATCAACACCTCAATTTGGAAGAGTGAAATATTAACAGGAAAAAAAAAAACTCCCGAATCAGAACGCCATCCCCCCTTCCGGAACGATCAATCAATCAATTACAGAGCATAGCACTCCCCCTCTCCTCAATTCCCCTGACATCGGCCCACCTGCCCGCATCCTCCTCCCACTCGTCCCCCATATCATGAACCCTCACCCTCCTCACCCTCAGACAAAACTCCCCGCCCCCACCGGCAAAGCCGTAGCCACCATTACTCCCAACCTCCTTCTCCACGTCCACCCAATCCACAACCCACGCCCATCCCGCCCGCCTGAGCAGATAATTCTTCTCTCGCAGCACCCTCTCCAGCTGGGCCAACGCTTCGGCCGGTAACGACTTTAGCGCGAGCAAGCCCTTTGGCGTATCCAGGTTCTTGAAGTCGCGGCTATAGGCATGGTTACTTATTGGGAGCGTGGTCACTTGGAGGTGTGTCCAGCGCGGGGTGTTGTTGTTGATGGAGCGGTAGGAGTGTGGTGGTGGTGGCGGGGGGTGCGGTTGTTGGGAGTGGTGGTGTTGTGGGAGACGTTTGAAGATTAGGAGTTCGTACCAGCCCGGTGCCGGGCTTGGGCACGTGAGGTTGTTCTCGTTCTCGTCCAGGCCTGTGCCCGTGTCTACTGGTGTTTCCATTACGACGGTTGTTTTGTGGGTTGTTTTTGTGGAGGGTGGATGGATTTTTCTTCTTTCTTGTTATGTCATAGCCCTGTTGGGGTTTAAAGAGCAAGAGCAAGAGTGGGAGGTGGGGGGTGGGTATATATATAATATTATATACGTATTGTAAAATCGGCGCAATGCGTAATGGAAAATTCAAACTTGTGATAATAATGTAGTTTTGCGGAAGACCAGAGCTGTATCATAGGGGAACCATTCACTATGCTAATTTAACTAGAAAGCGTAGCAAGGGTAGGGGGATATGGTGGCGGAGGTGGGGTTGCGCCCGCGCGTTCTTTCTCGTCCGGCCTTATTAAGCGACCTTGACTCAGACGCACAAGGTTTACCCGTGACTGAAACCAACTCAATTCACAACCATGGCGGCACAAGTGTCATGCTCTGGAGTATGGTATGGTACTGTACTCGTACCAAGATCCGAATCCAGGGAATCGCAAGCCCGAGAGAGCGAACCATTTCTGCTTGGGGTGGAGTTACAGTACTGTACAGTATCGTGTCGTGTACTGTACAAGTGTAGCATAATCGTAATAACTTTAGAGTATTTCCTTTTTCAGATTAGTTTGCTCGGTTTTTCAGGCTACCTGGGGTTCTGTACTCGTACTGTACTCTACACACTTCCTAAGCATTTTTTGTCTTCCTTCAACTAGCTTACCCCGCAAGACACCTCCTTCCACCTCTTCCTCTTCTTCGTGTCATCGTACCTGCATCTTCGATAACATACCGGTATCATACCGCCAGGGAAGAAAAAAGAGAGGATCGCATTCCTTATCGGCAACTTATCCAAGAAGCACTTTTCTTCTCTTTCTCATTCATTCTGTGTCATACATGCGGTTTTCGATTTCGATGGAAAGAAGGGTTGCTCGTAGTGCATCGGTATCATACAACAAAAGTGCTGAGGGTATGGTAAGGTATAATAGTACGAGTACAGAGTTGGCTGGGCGATATGATGGCGAGCGGGGTCAGCGTATCGGTATGGGTGGGTATCATAGAGCTGAAGTATGTGTGTGTGTGGCTTGGGCGTCTTACTTTGCATTCTTCCCCGATTCGGGGGGGGGAGTCGTAGATGCCCTGGCGATCACTCTTCTTCAAATTGGGAGGAAAAGTTATAAAAAAATAAATAAAAAGTCGTCAAAGTAGGGTAACAACAGAAGTAGCTGTTACTTCTATCATACCGATCCTTGCTCGTCACCTGCTGGTTTTAGTCGTTGGAGACTTGTGTGTTGGTATGATACAAGTACTGTACAGTACTCGTAGCTGGAAGGGGCAAAAAGGGGGGTGAGATGTTGTGCGTTGCGCATGGCGCAGTTCAGCGCTTTCCGTGGCGGATCCGGGGAAGGTGGGAAAGCGTGGGGGCGGGAGGGGCTTAAATGTTTTTTGGGGATGAGTTTTTTTTTTTTTTTTTTTGGGGGGGGGAGGGTGTTGATTTATTGATTGTGGTTAAATTACTCTCTTCTCCCCTATGAATACCGGTATCATACATATTCTATAATTCTACTATGACATCCTGGATATATTCCAGCGGAAAGGCAAGGGAGTGCTTTCCACAAGTGCCGACACATTACTCCCCCTTTCCAAGTTGTTCTCCCACCCCATAAGTTGAGTCATAGTCACCAACTCACCGGAACAACCCCTCATCCCCGGACGAACTGGTTGCGGCTGCCTTCGGCGTTAAAAACTCATTTAAACTTTTTATTCTCATGTTTTATCCCTGTCGTGCCCTGTCTTACCCTTAGCCACCTTCCTTACCCCTCCTCCTCTCCTTCCTCCCCCACGTCTTCCTTTTCACCTGGTCCAAGACATTTTTCTCTCTCTATGATGCTTATTATATGATAGGATAAGATCGACGGCTGTCTAGCCTGGTATACCGATAGTACAGTACTCGTACAGTTAATTCGGTACTTTTAACTTGTATGAGGGTGGGTATCTGACGGGATTGGCTCAGCTGATGAGGTCGCGCGAGATCACGAGGGTACGCGTGTGTGGAGAATCATTTGAGCTTGTGGGGGAGGATGGAGGAAGCAACGGGCGGGGGAAGTGGGTATGCTTAGGAGACAACCCCCGAAAATAAAAAATATACTCGAGTAGTACCGGTAGTGCGATTCCCCCCCACGAGGGGACCGGACTTGTGTCGGTAGGGGGTAATCTTGACATCCCTTTTTTTCTCTTGTATCCCCTGGGACTGGTATATTTCTTCTATCATAGACAAGTCCTTGAAAAGGAGGCATAATAATGCAACTGAAGAAGGACGTGTGTACAGTACCTTAAAAGTCTTGTGTATTCCGCGATGGTTGGAAGGTATATGCGACGAGAGGTAGAATGGCTGGTTTGGAGAAGTCCAACAAAGTGCTGAGGTGTGACGGTACAAGTACGAGTACAGACGGTGGCTGTGAGGAAGGGAGAGAAGAGTTTGACTCTGAAATCTAAAAATATAATAATAGGATGGGTATGATAGTTGAATTTTCTTTTCTTTTTTGGCCATATGTCTGATATGGGTTCCTAGCGCACCGGAATGATTGGACCTCACGGTAGGACGTCCAGAATTCTCTCCTTTGGATAAACTGGTAGAGGTCACTCCGGGAAAAAAAGAAACTGGCTCCTAGCCCTCCGCTCGGACAAATAAGATGGAAAGATAAAACCGGTCTTACTGGGAGAGGCAACTCCCACATCCTAAATATCATAACTCGAGGTTCAATCATTCCGGTCCCTTCTCCGTATGGACGTTATGGAAACCCTTTGTCAGAAAGGGAGCCGAGCGAAATAGGGATTTCCACTCGATTACAGGGCCCGGACTTTTTTCTTTCGCGGATCGGGAATGCCACTCGCGGCGATAGCTCCCGCTGGTAGAGCATTCTCGAAGAGGAAGGGTCTTTGAAACGTCGATGAGAAGCTTCCTCTGTTCTTTGAATCGCCTTTCTTGTCTTTTTCTTTCCGAATTTCAGTTTCGAGTAAAAGGTAACTATTGGATCTTATTTAGTACGTACTTGTGGGCTTGCTAGTTCTTCTCCCCCCCCCCCTTAATTTCATCAGATTGGGTTCTGCCCCCCCCCGATTACTAGTTACTGTTCTGGGCTATCACTCGATAGGGATTTGTACGAATTCTTCGGGTATGGTGATATCACGAGCCTATCGGGTTCACTCCTTCGGCCACGGTATGTACGGGGGGGGGAAGGCCGGGATGGATGGATATTATCATATATTTAGGTGCCTATTGTGTTTGGGGATCGAGGAGGGGAAAATGCGAAAATACTCTGCTCGTGTGAGGCTTCCAGAAGGAGTTGGCCCCTGGCTATCATGGAACAGTTGAAGGTGGGTGGCGTGAACGAGATTGTCATGGTGAATCACTCGTTTTTTTAGCTTGTGGCTCGGCTTCTATGAGGTGTTGGCACGTATGATAACTTGACGCCCAACTTGAAAGTTCGGACGCAAAGCCCTGAGCGGGGATTTTTATCGTAAACCATGGGCATTGCCTATTCATGTATGGTGTACATACCACGGTAATTTGTGGCATGCCGAACATAGCATCACATTTTGAAACCGGCATTGATACGATACGTGTTGAAGACTGTGCGTATTATACCTGCCAGTAGGATAAGTATTCGTTCTCACAAGTGATATCATACTAATGTGAAATACCTTGCCGGCTTAGTGGCCGAGTTCTCAGGAACCAGTTGGTCCCCTGCGCAGTTAGCAGGAGTTCAGGAGCTCAATTCCCCACGGCACGGGATATTCTTGGGTGAACCATCATGCGGGGCAGGAGGATTGGGAAATCCTGCCTCATGGGAACCGGGAGAATGAGGGGCCCTTGGCCTTCCTCGATAAAGCTATGGTGAAAATTGGACCGGCTGCGAGGTGGTAATAGAATTCGACTCTAGACTATACCCCTAATCATAGGAGTGAGGTCCAGGATCAGCAGGGCAGCGGAGGGAAAAAAGGCAAAGGGAGGAATCTTTAGTCAGGAGAAAGAAATCGCTTTCCCTCCAGTTCTTGCTTCTGCCGTCACGTCTCCGGGTAATACATCTCATACCCCTCAGCTCGTTCGGAGCATTCGAGTGTGGTAAGGTGTTTTGGTAATGGATGGGAATGGAGAATAAATAAATAAATAATAATTATTATGATACGCCCCGAGATTCTACCTGGGTATTCCAGGCAAGAACCTATAGTGGCATCCGCTCAACCCCACTTGATCCTGCGATCTTCAAGAAAAATCTTCCTGCGGCCCAGGGCGGTGCGGGCAGCAAAAGCCAGCGTCAGTCGGGAAAATTGCCGACTTGTGAAAGAGACGAACGTGAGGGCATGCTGGCTTATTCGGAGGTTCCGGGTTGTCCAAAGTTGCTGGTGGGTTTAAGAGTAACGCTGCGGGTTCCCATCACCGAGGGAGCACGGGGGCGAAAACCGCAATTATTCTGTAGGTATGGGTGCGTGTATGAAGCCCTTTGATCAAACAGCCTATGCTTGTGCTGTACCAGTGCTACTGAGGAACTCGAAGCGGAAAGTCAATTGTTGATGGCCTGCCTTCTGGAAGTCGGGAGTAGGGAGTTAAAGTTACTCGTGGTGTTCAACATTAATTTTATTTGTTTCTCACAAGTGTGGTATGATAGAACCTATATACAAGGAAAGGTTTAAAAAAGGGGAAATTTTTCGCAGTGGCGACACCTCTAGTGTCCTCCTGCTGCTGTCCCATCTCGGATGAGAATCTAAGCAAATCCAGCGCAAGCATTCCAACTATACGCATCGAGAGGATTTCTAGGGATGACACCGGCTTCAACGCCCTGCTTATATCCCCACCTCCAATCGTTCCTTCCGCCAATCCAGTCGATCTTCCAGGTCCAGTAAACCCAGCCGTCGATCTTCTCGTAGCTGAGGAATTGCGCAGCCCACCACTTCCTGTACCACTCGACCGCATCCGGCCTGTCAAGGGCGAACTCCGAATTCCATTCCGCGTTGTCGGCAACGCTCACACTCCACTCCCCGGTGATGACGGGCCAATTCCCGCTGCGGGAATCGGTACACGAGTGGCGCATATATCCGTCCCGCGATACGGTGACACCAGGGGTCCACTTGACGTAGTGGTGGTCATCATAGAAGGCATTGGTGAGGTCGGGAATGTTGGCGTTGGGGTTGCCGGATCCCCACTTCTCGTTCATCATTTGGATGTGCAACTTCCTTGCCGCCGGGACGCCGAGCCTGCTCTCGACGGCGCGGATGCGCGAGAAGGCGGTTGGGTAGTACTGTTGGATCATGCTTCCCTGGGTGTTCCCGTCCTGGAGGGGCTCGTTGACCAGCTGGATTGTGCCGGCGTTGGCAAAGTTTTCGTTCGTGTGGATGATGTTGGTCATCCATTCGAGCCACCTGTATGCTCGCTCGTATTGCCAGTCGACGTAGAAGCCGGCGTTGGGGGAATTCTGGCCGGTAAAGGGCTGGTACTTCTGCTGAGCGCCCGGCGCGCCGTGCAGGTCGATGATGATGTAGAGCCCAGAATCCTTTGCCCACTTGCAGACTTCCTCGAGGTACTGGAAGGCGCCCTGGGGAAAGTGCTCGCTGTCCGCGTAAACCAGGTCCTCGTAGATCCAGTATCCCAGCGGGATACGGATGGTGTTGAGGTTCAGACTCTTGATCTCGGTGATGTCGGCTTGGGTGATCCAGCGGTTCCAATGGGCTTGGAAGGCGGTGTTGGCTGCTGATTGACCGAGCTTGAGTACGCAGTCAAATTCGCTGGGTTGGCCCCCACAGCCCATGGCATTCCATTCGTCTTGCATCATCCATGGCTCGACCACGAAGAGGCCGCCAAGGTTAACTCCACGGATTTTGCCTTCTGGAAGCCATGCTGAGACAAGATTTGGGATGGCCAGGAGGGAGCCAAGGAGAAGGGGCGGGAACTTCATCCTGCTAAGTTTTATTTTTCAGTAAGCTGAGAGCAATGATGGCCCGAGAGATGCCCGGAGAGCATGGAAAGGAGGAGAAAGACATACTCGAGTAGATATCGTCTAAAAAGCTAGACAGTCACTAAGAATCGTGGGGGGGGGGAGACCAAAAGAGTGTGGTGAAAAACCAATGCGGTGAGGTGAGCCTGGAAAGAACCGGGGGATTTCGAGATCGTTTTGTACAATTGAGGCCGATCAGGGCAGCTTCGTAACGCAGGGGAGTTTATGCGTGTAACACCTCATAGGTTCCTCCCATTTCTCCTGAAGGCCGGTAGCTTTCTGATCTAGGAATATTACTGTATTAAAATGATCAGGGCGGTACTGGACATGCTTGGATGTTGTAGAGCTGGGAATGCTTGTAGCCTTAAACAGAATGAAGAGTAATACGGTACCTGTAGGAAACTGCGAAAAGAATAGAAAAAAAAAGGCATAATCAGCTGGGTTTGTTATGATTATATATATCCATTAGCCAAACCCCCTAGGGTTTGGCTAATGGATATATATAATCATGCAATAAAGTACCGGGGCGCTAGAGCTTGCAGCTGACTGTATTGATACCGGTAGACAACAATGGAATTAAATTACCGGTACCGTACTCAAGATCACATCCAGCGCAACAGCGAACTCAGATAATTTAATAGCTAGGACTACCGGTATTTATGCGAGCACAATCAGCATCACAAACGCTAAATCCCATCCATTTGACAATTGTTCCCCCCACCCCCCGCAAACGTGTAGGGCGGTACTTGTAACTGACCTCCGAGGGGTTGATTGGGCGCACTGTGCCCGTGAATGGGCTCGAGAAGCTCTAGGCGGGGCGCATCAGGTTAGCGAAAGAGGGCACGTGAGGGGTATAAAATTAAATAAGAGATGCACTAACGGCTTTCGGACATTAGAAAGGCACCAGTACTGTACTTGTGGTTGTATCGTACCTAGTACAAGTAACTACCTGTATACTCCCATGTCAAAGTATTGTGCATAGATAAGATAAATACAGGTACAGCTCCTGCAAATATGGAAAATTTGCTATTTCTATTAAATGATAAGATGATTCTTGTGAAAACAAATTTCTATAAAATTTCTGCTTGTCTTTACAATCTTTTATTACATAGAAATGAGCTAGTTAATTACCCATGTTTGGGCACTTTCCGGTGGGGTTTTAGAGAGTGGGACAGTACTTTTGGGAGGTGATTTTAGTAAAGGGCGGGCCAAGTCAAGGTTTACTAGTACGGTATCATATATTGCACCTTCGATCACCTGGCCAGTGGCCAAGAGCGCTGGAAGCCGAGGATCCACAACTAGGACTCGATAAATTTACTCCAATTGGTGAGTGAATTGGTGAGTGAATCCCGCAATTATATATATATATATTTTTATTGAACGGCTATGATAGCATTTGTGTTCTTCCCTGGTGATAAAAAACAGCTCGAGGGGCTTCTCGACGAACTCTAAAATTTAGCATAGTACTCGGGTATGGAAGTAAAAATCGAGGACGGAAAGAACTGTGATATGGCTGGGAAGTACCAAGCTGGCCAGAATAACAGAAAAGATTGGCATAGTCCATTGGAGAAGAACCTGGACTAAAGCTTGGCAGACATAACATGATGCTGGTATTGATATCTGTATGATGCTAGAATGACAAAACCAGTGTTAGGCAGAGACAACCTGTATAGACTCAGAGTTGTCTAAGCCAATTGAGATTTGTTTCTGTAGATAGAGATTGTTTAGGAAGGCTCAAGAAGTGCTTGTTTCATTTATGACTACTAAGAGCAAGGTAAAGAAGGTAAAGTAGTATAGAATCATAAGAACAATATTATATTGTTAAGGTCTCTCAGGCTTCTCTGTTACTTGATAATGTCTAAAAGCTTGGAAGGCACTTTAATATTTATATTCTACATCTAAGTGTTTGCGGACTTCATCTATCTCTCATATAAATTATGTATCTCTTGTTAGGTGGAGACAATCTGATAGACTTCAGAATTGTCTAGGCCAATCAAGATTTGTTTCTGTAGACGGAGATTGTCTAGAAAGGCTCGAGTTCACTCGTTTCATTTATGACTACTAAGAGAGAAGTAAATTTGATAACGTATGATAGAATTGTAAAACAATATTATATTGTTAAGATCTCTTCTCTATTGCTTGATAATGTCTAAAGCTTGGGAGGCACTTTGATATTTATATTCCATATCTGAGTGTTCGCAGACTACATCTATTTATCAGACAACAATGTATCTTTCTGATTATAAGTTGCAATGTTGGGTATTCTTGAAAGGTGAGAACACCTGGAGACCTTGAAGATTACCACACCCTTTTTGGCAATTACAATATAACTAACTTGGAACCATACTGTTCCCAATAGTAGTTATCCAATCCTTAAAGTCTTTAGACTTGTGGCCTAGTTCTTAAGTTGAACTGAGTTGGCTTCAATTGTCTCCGTCGTTGATGAAATGATCAGTTTCATCTGTGGGTTGCATCTGTGAAAGTAGTTATAATCACAACCATTTTTCAGGTTGTCTGACTTTAAACCTCCATAACTCCTTACACAACCAATAGATGTTTTTCAGAGAACGTCCTACTAATTTGCAGAAAGCTATTACACTGGATTGAAAAATATTCCCTCAGTCAGCAACCCTTGGTTGCTCTAGATAACAGGGTTTCGATAACTGTTGACATCTTGGAAGTTATTCTCGTAACTACAATGTGTTCTGAAACCTAGTTGCAACACTCCGTGAAGTTCAATGGCCTCTATGGTAGTGTTCCTTGGAGTTCTAGACTCTTTCAGATGTTGTAGGATTGATGTAAATGTATTGGTCTCTTGCTGAGATCCTTTACTATTCAATACCATCTCTTTGTGTGAAAAGGTCCCGTTAACTATGGCCCATACCAAAAGTATCACATCGTTGAAGCCTTGTAACTTTCTGAGTAGATGACGGACTTACTCTGTTCCACTTCTCAGACTAAGCTGAAGGTTTCCTCCCATATACCCTGCAAACAGGATCCAGTCAGATGGATAGTAGTAACGTATATGGGGTTATTATAACACCTTCAATTCTGTAGTATTATAGTCACAGGACGAAACTGAGATTGATATGTACGATGACATGTGGGCCCCATCAGGGGGCCAGAGGGGGGTGTTGGAGACCAGAGATTCTAATCTTGAGTGGGATTATCCTACTTATGGTAACTCCTAGGTATCGGATCCTGATATTCCTAACACCTCTCTAACTGTTACTTGCAATATTGGGTATTCTTCAAAGATGTGAACGCCGGGAGACGCTGAAAACCATCACACTCTCTTTGGTAATTACTATTGTGTTAAATGGAAAACTGTATTGTTTCCAATAGTAATTATCCGATCTTCAGAGTTCTTAGACTCATAATCTAGTTCTTAAGTTAAACTTGAGTTAGCCCTAATAGTCTCTCCTATTGATGAAATGATCAGTTTCATTCATAGTTTTTTGTATCTGTGGGAGTAGTTATAAATATACCCCTCTTAGATCACCGACTTCAAACTCTATAACTTCTGATCCAACCGACAGATATCCTCTAGATGACTTTCTATTAATCTGGAGAAAGCCATTCTACCAGATTGGTAGATAATCCCTTGGTTGGCAACTCCTGGTTGTTTTAGGTAACAGGATTTTAGCTGCTATTTAGTATTGGGGATAATTCCTGCAATTATGACGTATCGCTGTACCTAGTTGTAATACTTTATGAAGTTCATTAGCTTCTTTGATAGTGTCCCTTGGAGTTCTAGACTCTTCTAATTATTGTAGGGTAGATGAGAATGTGTTGGCTCTTTGTAGAAATCCTCTAACATTTAATATCATATCTTTGTATGAAAACATATCGCTACTTACAGCCTATTTCAAAAATGTTCTATTATTGAAGCCTGGTAACATTCTAAGTAATTGACGGATTTACTCTGTTCCCCTTCTCAGACCTAGCCGAAGGTCTCCTCTCACATATCCTGTGAACAGGATCCGGTTCGACAGATGGTAGTGATGAATACACCCGCATTCGCAAAGTTCTCATACCCTGATTGCTACCAATACCCAGCTTGGCAATAACAAATATACTATTATGTAGTAATACATTATAGAGTATCTAGAATGAAATTATCTACTATTTAGTATGCTCACCATTTGCTGAAATCACGGCTACCACCCACTCAGGCAGACTATCAATTAGTCTATTAAGAGTAATTTAATTAATTGCCTCCCATTCCTCCTATATTGCTACCCGAAGCTCATTTTCAGTATGTGGTCACTATTAGAGTGTTCTAAATCGCTTTCAGAGACAGCTTTTTAATAGGTGCTAGACAGTTTTGATCGGATTTAGATCTGGTGAATTAGTAGGTAGGAGTATCCTTTACTTACTATATGCCCCACCTATAGCACGATTCTCATCTCCTTTGTGATACCCAGTATTGTCTTTACTGA